AAGCTTTCGTCCATCATATGACGAACATCATCAGAGCAAGGTATCATCGTCACAACAAAATTCAATCTAAAGAGTCAAGAAAACCCAGTGGTATATATACTGGGGTTTTGCCGGTGAGTTTTCTTGACTCGTTAGCTTGAATTTTGTTGTGACGATGTTACCTCGCTCTGATGATGTTCGTCATATGATGGACGAAAGCTTGGCACCTTTTCACCGGAATCGAAGAAGATTACCTCCGAAACATCGTCAGCATGAATCTTCCAGTAAAGCCAATCGCAGCTGGTCAAGAGGAATCCGCCGTCGTCTTTTGGTAGAACCGACGTTCGAATCTCTTCAGCCAACACTTTCATTCGAAATGGAAGTGAGCTCAGCAATTATGAAACAAGAGATTTCTCGAAACCCAACTTTTCATCGCATATATTACAAAAATCTCCGCTGTCTTCATTAAGCCTGTGAAATATGGCCGGTGCTTATATTGAATGCACCAGACGAGCCATGATTACAACCCAGCCGCCCCTCAGGGATTGCTACGGTTTGAGAATTCTTTTACCAGAGTCACACCGCCGAATCTTATGAAAACTGACTGAGGCATCATGTATAGACCACAGGTCCTAAACCGGTAAGAAACTATGATTTGAAGGGCATTTAATAAAAAATTTCGATTACTCGTCGGATTATTAACGCGGGAATGGGTATGCTGTCTAGTTTTCCTGGCATCAGAAATGAACTGAAGAGTTTCATCTGTATTGTTATAAGGTATTCTCATTCAGGCTGGAGTCAACTGAAGTTTCAACCACGTCTTGGTCTCCTCAATACCCCCAGCCCAACTCGTACTGTCGCATGACAGGGTATAATTTTGACACTATAGTCCCTATGAGCACCCTTGAGTCGCAGGACACATGTGAATTTCAAGGAAGGTCAGTCATTTTCCTATACCACATTCTGTGGTTGGTTCATCAACTTGAACGAACTAAGATGAATAGCAAATGGTAGTATAGAAAACTTATTTATAAACGAAAAATTGCGATGGCAAATGTAACTTTGCTTAACCGACACTCCTATTATAGAATGTGGCATGGAAAAATGCTTGGCCTTCCTTAAAATTGGCATCTTCCCTGGTCATTCTTGGCGGTATGATGTAGTGCTTTAAGTTTCAAGATCCTACGCTACACTCTCACGGTTCGAGTCCCGCTGGGGGTATTGAGGAGACCAAGACGTGGTTGCAACTGCAGTTGATTCCGGCCTGAATGAGAACCTCTTTTGGAAGCAATGAAAACGTATGGTCTACACATGTCAATGTGGGAAAATTCAAATACCAGTCATAGATCACCTTAAACGAAAGGAGGTGAATATATCTCAACTGTTCTCCCAAATTTTCGAACAGGAATAAGGAAATCTGTTGCGTCAAGTATGTTATCCATCCAGCTTGACAATCCAAACTTTGGGGGCCTGCTCAATGAGGCTGGAGTATACGTGCCATCAAAGGCTTGAAGCAGAGTATAGGGGACATAATGCCTCGAGTAGCTCGAATATGGTGGCAGTGATCGAGAGAAAGCACTGAACCAGAGCGATAAGAGACGGATCTTACGTGGCAGGAGGGAGACCCTGATAGGGCTTGGAGAAAGAGTATTGTGGACGAAATGGGAAGACTCGGATTAACACTTCTAACACAGTAGAAGGGATAAGATAGCCAGCAAGGAGTGTAAATAGTACTCAATGAATCCGTTAAAAAGGGTACCCTTTAACTAAGTTTGAATAAGCAAGTAAGAACTGTGATAGTTTAGGAGGTTGATACGAGTATATAGAATAGATAAACGTACCAGTACGGAAGGAGAGATACCACAGCTGCACAGAAAACTAT